CTATCTCGCCTCCGAATAGGTCAACAGCATGCGAGACATTCACGTTGTGGTTAACAGTTTGCGCTTTCCTTGGGCGTGCGTAAAATTTATTACCACTCTTGTTCTCAAATCAGATAGATCTGGGAAGCACTGACTTAGGTCTAGATGAATATATAAATATATTCAGCGCCTTTAATTCTATGTATATTTATATACATAGAAGGAGGAAGTGAAAGCTGTAAAAATATTCACAACTATTTTTAAACTCAAATGGGACCAACTCATGTCATATGCTGGTTTTGTTAACAATGAACGACTGCGCAATAAGCAATGGAACGACACGCAAATATATTTGCTGAAGAACAAGTTTCAATATTTGCACTTCGTGATTTATACGCAAAGGGCTGAATTACTTCTTGTCTTATTACTCTTTAATTATATTTTCTCTTACACTTAAGGTACCACAAGAGGTTGAATATTTCAATTTTTTCTGGACTTAGCAACATGATTTTTTAGAGAAAATGAGTCAAGACATGAAGTACGGCTCCGCATAACAACAAGGGCATTGGGACATTTTTAAGAGCTCCCCGAGATGGAGGGGATGGACTTTAAGGTCATAATGGTTGTTATTTGGAATCATTATATATTTCTGCAGGGTGTATAATCGGTTTGTGGGCTCATTTGTGTCTGGTAAAGAGATGTGAACCATTTTTGTCCTCAGAAACATAAAATAATATGGAGGGGCAAGTATAGAAATGCTATTTCGAAAAGTATGGAAGACAATATGGAAATGAGACCCATTATGCTCCCCAAGTAAAACTATTTCGCACGATGTGGGAGTCGTCCCACGTTTGTGCTCCGTATGGTTTTGACGCTAGGACGTTTTAAAAAAATTCATCATGGTCGACTATTTTGGATATAAATACGTAAGTATAAGTAACAGCAGAAGGGGACATTTACCAAAATTTAGAGTAGTAATTTTTTTACAAAATTTGTATTTGAACCAAATTTCTACCTACTATAATTTCTGAGAAAATTACAATCAAACTGAGGAGGGGAGGTTGTGTACTATCAACTCCCGGATTTCGATGCCCTTTGGATATGTTGTAGTGTCCCATGAATGTACAACAACCCTGAAGTGGTTTGATGCCATGGCCACATTTGCTCCCGCCACACCCACTCAAAGATGCCCAAAAATCGCTTTCACTCCAGCTTTCACTCATTCAAATCCTCGCCAAAAATCCAATTTTACTCCGATTTTGAAATTTCTTTCACCATTATACTCCCAGATAGTTGCTCTCTTATATCCAACATCAAATTCAACTGTTTGAAATTTTTAGTATTTTAAAAATTAAAAATTCTGAATTAGCATTGTTGTGGTAGTCAACAAAGCAAATTATGGCTGCGAAATAATCATCAAAAAAGTTGAGCTTGATGTTGGATATAAGAGAGCAACTATCTGGGAGTATAATGGTGAAAGAAATTTCAAAATCGGAGTAAAATTGGATTTTTGGCGAGGATTTGAATGAGTGAAAGCTGGAGTGAAAGCGATTTTTGGGCATCTTTGAGTGGGTGTGGCGGGAGCAAATGTGGCCATGGCATCAAACCACTTCAGGGTTGTTGTACATTCATGGGACACTACAACATATCCAAAGGGCATCGAAATCCGGGAGTTGATAGTACACAACCTCCCCTCCTGAGTGGTATAATTCCTTGCCAACTCTCTTGTGGTACCTTAAATCTTTCCTTTTCATAAGTAGTAAAATCACAAAACAGTCGCATTGGTCGACATTCCGAGGCAGGAGGCATGTTGATTATGGTAAAAAATATCTGAATTAACAGTATTCTACTTGTTTAAGAAGTATGTACATTGTAGATACACGACAGCGCTACTATTTCCTCAAACGTAATTCAGCTTCAGTAAATTTTATGTTGCTACATGGAACGTGATGAAATTGTAATATAATAATCTACAATGGAGACTTCAATTAGCCCGAGTCAAGGACCGACACCGCTTCTAAATTTTTTTGTCCGGATTGACCTGCCAACTACTATTATCACCCCGTGTGGCTAGGTTGGTACAATGTTTGTTAAATATTTTCTATTATTTGACATCAAATTTTTAGGTATTTACAAATCCTCCCTGTTGATTACCAGGAGCAGTGGGGCTGGCTTCTTTTAAATCTTGAACTTTAAAAGTTACTTGCAGAAGCCATTTTTATAAAAATTGCTTCTCAGTAAATAACAATTTTTGAAAAACGTATGGGTCACCCTCTAGGGTCCATCTGGCTGCAAATCTTTCCAATTTCACCTCAGAAATTTGATACATACTTTGTTCATTGCAAGCAATTAACAATCTGTGTGCCAAATTTCCAATACCATTTTGAAATTTTGGCCCATCATATCCTACCCACCTACATGACCCGCACCGGTCAACCGCTTGACCGATTTTTCTCATCTTCGAACTTAACTCATAACTTTGTCTAACATACAAAAATCTCAACTCAATCGTATCAGCCGTTTTGGCCATATCGTGTCTCGGACAGACAGACACCACGGTTACATGAGACTTGACTCGGGTTAAAACTGATGAACAAATCCCCTTTTCACTCCATAGCATTGTGCAATTAGACACTAATTTTACTTTCAAGAGGATTATTACACTTTACATGTGTTTCACCAATGCCAAAGCCTACCGTGCGGAGGTATTCCACCGGACTAGCTGTGTTTCATGTCAGTATGTGTGAATAAGACATTTCCTTTATCTAACACTCATAACACGTTTCTCTATAATTTTTGGTTGTGTTGCATTCGTCATTACAATTGCGATTTGTTCCGATTTGTTAATACTTTGACGTCGAAATTATACTCACAAAATTGAGCTAGTCGGTACATAATCTGCTTGTGGTTAATCAATTAATGCTCATGATAAGATTTTCTCAAATATCATAAGCAAACATGGGCCAACTAATCCTAAGTATGTACTATTGACACGGGACCAATAAATGAGAGTTAGTGGAGACTCTCGCCGTGCAGTATTAGTACAAGTTTACTGAGATTAAAGTATTTCAGTCGGTTGATTTTCAGCAACTTTTATGTGCACATGAATCTGATTGAAATTGTTTAGCTCTTCATGATTACGAATTTCTGCAGCAAAACCGTCGGGTTGTATTGAAATCCGAATTTTATTTTTCTCACATCCTCGCCAATATACAACTTCAAAGAAATTTAGTTTCTTTGGGCTGCAACTCTATGTAGGAGACGTGTGTAGCATCGACGCGCCGGTGCATTTACGTTAAGTAGTTGAGCTTGTTGAATTTTAAGCATTTCGAGGGTTGTGCAATTGCGGAGGTGCCAGTTGGTCTTCTTGGGTGAAAGTCTACTCATGATGAACTTTGCTAATCGTTAACCACAGCTTTACTTAGATGTGGAGATGGCTTTTTGGAGAGAAAGTTGCACTATTTAACACCCGACGCGACCATGTAATAAGACATGTAAATACTCGTCTAGTGTGCATTTGAAATATCCATAAAGACTCCTGGAACTAGCTGCACGAGCTGACGATTATGCAATCTAAGTATATATTATGCCATGCGTATGTGCCAATGTTTGTTGATATTACAGCGAACGTATGTATACTAATTTTCACATGTGCTGTATACAAATGATGCAATAAACTAGGTAACTATGTATCTGGTGGCGTCTTTCTTACTGAGGAGAAGCCTTCAGTTATTACTGTTGAGCCTGCTTGGAGGGTTGCTTCGGGGAAAGCGGGACTCACACCATATCGCAATTTCTGTTCGGGTCTGTCCAAGTCATTCATCCATCGGTGTTGAATCCTGTTGAATTGAATTCATAGCCCATGACAAGCTGAAGTTCCACAACCCGGGAATCCTCCACAGAGTCAAAATCTACTTTCTCTCTTGAGAAAGCACAAGTGGTAGAGCTCGTGGTGGGTGGCAGGCAGGCAGGCAGGCAGGCAGGCAGGCAGGCAAGCAGGGAGGACTAGGCAGAACCAAACCTTTTGGCGTGTAGGCTGTTTAGGCAGAAAGTCTCATCCTGGCACAAGATCGCACAAGATCGCAGTGGGGAGAGAGTGAGTTGGAGTCTGTTCAGTCAGATTCGCAGCAGAGTCGGCACTTCTCTCCACGACCATCTCTCTCTCTCCTCTGCTGTTCCTGCCTCCCAAATTGGCCAGTCAAATCCATCACACATTCCTCGAGCAGACTCTGCCTCCATTAGATCTGCCACCATCCAGACGAATCTCCAGTGAGCTGAGCTGGAGAGGGCAGAAAGAAAGTGTGCGGACCATAATGTTGTGTCGAGGAAGGAAGCAAGTCAGGTGCATGGATGGTGTTGGAGGTAGCTTTGTTCCGGTGAGATTGTGAAGTGAAAGTGGGTTGGTTGGTTGGTGGTAAGTGGAGTGTGTTACTGCCGTGGTGGCTCGGTGTTTGTATTTCATTTCACCCAAGCTTTTTCATCAGGATTGAATCTTCTAAACGGATTCTTCACGTCTCGGTACCTTATTAAGTGTGTAATACGTCTCTTTTCTCTGACAGCTACAACGCTTTGCCAACCATGTGAGAGCTTCGATTCACTCCACAGGCTCGAAATAAGAGAACACCCACACACAACTCTGACGGAGATAGTGCCACAATTTCTCTGAACTCTATTTTTGCCCTGGTCCATCTTTGCTAATGTCATATTCCGCCAAACATACCATCTCATACTGCATTTCTGCAAATATGAGAGTGATTCAGCATTGATTGAACTCAAGCAAGGTGCATAGCAAACGTACCACCTCGGTTGGCAGTAGTGCATCCACTTGTAGGATCAAATCTTGTGACTTGAAGTCGTAAGACAGAGCAATCAAAGAATCACAACAATTATACGAATTGCATGGTAAATAGTAAGATGCTAACTTTCCTCTTATTTTTCTCTCTTTCTTGCATGACACACTTGATGATCAGATGGATAAGTTATAAAATAAATTGTGTTCTATTTTGTATGTGACCGTCTAGGAATATGACAGCCATTTGCTTCGTGTGTAACTTGCCGATCCTGTCACATCAAGTTGGACTGGTCTGGAAGGGAGGAAATGGATTCGATGAACTTGTTCGGTAAGTACAGCATGAAAGAAAGTCGTGTAAATACGTTCTGTTGGTAATTCTCTCTCATAATTCCATTATGATTCCTCCCCTCACTCCTCGTACTACCGGGTGTTGCGATTCGGTCAATGCAATTTGCCACCCAGTCCTTGTGCTGAATGACGTCAACCCTGCAGGTCATTTCGTGAATAGGCGTAAAATTAGTATTAATTTGTTTAGTCCCGTGGACAGGAATTAAATTACGTGTCAAATTCCATCGCTGAGGATCTAATAAGCAAGCTCTTTTCTTGTGTGGCAAACTCGCTAATCATTTTCTGCCCTTTAAAGGCCATGTTGGAACTGAATCAAGGGGTTATTTACTGGAACCTATGAGATCTAAATTTGATAACCTCTTTAACAATTTGTCAAAACAGAAACAATCAAGGAACCGCCTTGATACAAACTTTCCTTTCTGCATGATGAGCAACAACACTGGCTTTCGTTCAAAATAGTTCCAACCTGATTGCAGCTGGCTAGCGACAATGAATCATCTTCAGTTTGAGGAATATCCCGCAAACAAAGTTTGAGCATTGCCGACATGGTGATCACTTTGAGAATATCACGAATTAGGTTTGCTCTCCATTAACAAATCTAATTAGCACGCCATCCTAATAACCAGCTCAGAAATTTCTATTTGAGTTGGTGTCTGTCGGCAGTGTGGATTGTCAACAATTTAACCTGTTGATGGTGAGAGAGTAAGGCAGACGAGGAGACGGAGAGTTATTAGCATATTGAGACCAGTGTAACATTGTGACGAAGGAGGAGAAAGCTTTTTCCAAGTATTTAATAATCCATAATATCTTCCAGCTCAGGCCACTCCCGATTAACAGCTTTCTTCTCCCAGTTAACAAACTACCAAACTAGGCAGAGTTTCTCTGTTGGTAAAAAGTTACAAGGGGAATTTAACAAGTTTAAGTAACGTGAAGTTTAGTGAGTTAGTGGGTCCGTGATGTAATTGGTTGGTTGGTTGGTAAGATGCTCATCCAGAAGTGTATGGTTCTATCCAGTAATGTGATTCGCCAAAGCACTCTTTCAATATATGTATCACATCCCATCGCATTCTGCACACAGCATCAGGTCCTGATTAAATCTACTCCAGACCGCAACCTGTTCCTCCTCCATCGATGACAGCCTCGTCAAACCACCTTCTTCTATGTAGATACTTACATATCGAGCACACGCACATAAATGTGTTTTAATCAACTTTGGACGTTGTCATCAAGGGAGGGAGAAAGTTGATGAAACTCAAACCAACACTCTATTTACTTGTAATTATAGTTTCGAGAATTTCCAGTAATTTAAGGAATTGCTTGCAACACTATACCTTGGACATAAACCGCATGTGTTTGTAGGCAGTAGGAAATTGGGCTTCATTAAAAACACTTTCTCTCTCAACATTGCTTGTCAAAATTTTAACAGAAAACTATTTCATTAGCTAATTATTCTTGTAATGCCTAGCGCATTACACAAAGCTTGCCATTACATTCCAAGTAGAAACTATTTTTAAAATGATCTCAAGTTAAATTTTTAAGAGAAAAAATGTTTTAGATGAAAGCACGATAGATAGTTTTACGTCTGTTCAACCATCGAAGCTATGTTTTAGGGTGCTAGTGTAACACGCGAAATGTGATACTAAGCGCAATAAAGCCATATGATGACAACCAAATTGAAAACGAATCAAACCAATTTTTTTTGTTTGAGATTGTAGCCTATCTATTTATAATGTATTAAGGAATAAAAGCATACGACAAACTCACTCAAAAATACTGCGCAGTATTGGAGTCCTGATTTATATAAACACTGTATTTCACTTACATAAAATCGTGCCAGGTCATAATTATATATCAGTAAAAATGTCTACATTCGATCATTACTGAAAAGAATTTGCGACAAAGGACGATCGACGCGGAAGCTTACGTCTATTTGCTATATATCTGCCAATGAGCGTGAAGAAGGACAAAAACTTTTCCAATCAGGCAATCATCTTCCGTTCCAATAACCCTTTGATTTTCTGGGGAGAGATACATATTTGTTATTGTGTGTGCGAATCACTGCGACGTGGATCCCTACAGCCACGTAGGGATCGTGTGGTGGATAATGATTGAATGAAAGTTATGGGACAAACAACAGCGTTCAGAATTTTAATGAGTTGAGTTGAGACTTGTTGCAAATTCCATTTGTGGTAAGTATTTTGAAAATAATGGAATCATTTCTTTGATCATTCCATCTTCATCGTTAGCAGACAGGCATCAATATCAGGCTTGGGAAGAGATGATGTGGCCCAAGGTCGTGTGGCAGTATTATTAAAAGAACCCATTAGCCTCCACTGATCCGCACCGACTGGAAAGAGTTGAACTTATATGGTGGACAATGCCTGAAGAACTTAACTCTTTTCACATTTCAGACACTACGCGTTGGATGGCTTGCTTCTGTGCGAGCCAACGTGATTTTGAAACTTGAGTAATTTTAATGTGAAATTAATATCCGCTATTACAACAGAAACAGAGTGAAAGTCAGCTAGCAGTAGGATCCGCTTAGGTTTGAGGGAGAAAGTCGTCCAACTATCCTTTGATGTGCTTACTTTGATTTGAGCAGTATCAACTTAAGCCAAAAGTTCAACAAATCTAGCACCACACAGTTGTTCTCGGAACATGGTTGTCTTTAAACATCAACCAAATATGTCATGGCCATCTGAACGCAAGCCACGGGATCCACAAAATTCCGAAGGAAGGAACGAGCTTTGCCGTGGTTGTGTATATTTACGGACATTTTAGTACAAGGAGTCGAGTCGAGAATGATGCATTGTATTGACGCTAGTACAACATTGAGTGTAAATTACAATTTGATCCCTCATGTATGAGAAACGTGCCGCTAAATCATCGAGTATATAAGTATTAGAAATCATGATTCGCAATCATTTTATGTTGTCAGCTCCATGGACGTCACCATCAGACCAATATTAAAGCAAAGGGCACAGTCATACGATACAATTCAAGTCGACAATAGCCGAGATATTTATGCTGATCAAGTACTTCGCAACGTTGGTGTCAAATGGAAACGTAATCAAATCCACCATAATTGTAAGCTATATAGGCTGATGGATTACGGAACTACTTATTAGGAGAATGGGAACATGAATAAAAGAAATACTGACATTTTCTCATTTCGTGTGACAGGAGAGCGTGACACCAAGACGTATAAAATTCAAGTAATTCATATCCATGTTCAAGGTTGGAAATATTACACAGGAAAAATCAAGGAGGGAAATGTAGCATCTTTCGCGACCTTGAGTTGAAATATACTTAATTTTTTTTACCAGAGCAGCATGAATCTCTTTCTTGATTTGCATATTGAAAGACATTTTTTGAAATCGCATTAAATGAAATGAGCCAATGACGCACAGGAAAGATTCTCATTTTTCGTGAATAATATTTCTTGGCTAACAATGAAGAACGTCAAAAAAGAAGGGTGATGGTTCACTTTTGACAGAAAATGATGAAAATTACGATTGGAAATTGAATCCCTTTCCTCCTCTGCTGGATGGACGTATGCACGTATGATAACGTCAACTGTTGAGCCCTGTTCATTATACCATGTGGAAAGGAGGACGAGAGAGAGAGAGCACCTCAATCTGATCCAGCTTTTATGTTGCATTGATATCACCACATTCCAATGAAATGCCCAGTTGGCAATTTGTACAGACCAGTGGACGAATTTGCAATTTTGACAAAAGTTAATATATAAAATCGATAGCTTGGTATAAGTTCCCCCCGTCGCCATAACCCTCCCACGCGACGACTTCATCGTCTCGGTTCGTATGTAGGTTGTACATGACGCAGTCGTGTGGTATAGGATCTCACTTGAATGTATTTATTACAGTCAGATCTCATATTTTAGTGAAGTTGCATGACATAATTTGGATTTTGTCAGTGGCTGTGTATGATTTATATCTTATGGAAAGACTTTTGAGTTTTCTCCCTTCCCTGTGATCATTACCGGAAAAGTGGAAAACTAACTTAATGAGATTGAGAATTAGGGAGAATTGTGTGTGCCAGATTCCTCGTGCTGTTTATGAGCGGGTTCCGCTAGGTAAAAGTTGTAGAATGGCGAGGGAAAGTTTTGTAGACGTGCGTCATATAGGAATATGCAAACTTTAGAGTCGAATGAATTATTAGGAAAAATATGTGCGCTATTTCCTAATAGGGTTGCTTCCAAGAAATACCTTTTACAGCCAAGAATGAAATGAAGAACGACATTTGGGAAGTATGCTCACGATAAAAATTAAACACTCGTCTTCTTGGGCTCCTCACTTGTTAGAAGATCTTATAAATATTGATTTTAAAGATGCGCAGTTTTCATTTTAAATGAGAGCTACGAGCTAAGTTAAATGTTTACTTATATATAAAGCTGAGAGAAAGCACAACACGCATTTTGTTTTAATTTTTATATATTTTAATTGTTTATCATAATATTTTGTTGGTATTTTTTCAGGGAACAAGAGCAGGAGGAAATTCTCAGGGCAAGGCTTGGGAGACGTGATTCTGCTGCTCAAATTACCACCGATATTACCCCGTTGACGGTAAAAAATTAATTGATAATAATTTTTTGTGTGATCATATGCATCATGTATTGCATTCCTAATTGCATGGATTAGTAATAAAAAATAGTAATAAAAATGAAAGCGAAAATTATATATAAATTTAATGACGATTCAATCAATCGTTGTTTTAATGCACAGGTTCGCGAGACATCGCCACCAACATCTCGACGCCGTCGAAGTTCTTTAGCACAGTTAACGGATATTTTAAGAGAATGGGGCAGTGGCGGCGGCCTTAGAAAACAGGACAAGTCGTTATCCAGACGAGAAACTTTGGCGGACATTATCTTGGCAAGGTACTTGCATACTCTGCTTCTCATACCCTAGCGACGACGCTTATATAATTCGTAGCATATAGCTCAAAGCATTAGGATAATAGTGAGTGTTCCATACACGTTCAAAAATTCACACCTTGGAACAAAAACTAGTGACATACAAATGTTCAAGTGTTTGATACACACACTCAACAAAATACGCTTTCATCAATCTTTGAAGTGCCCTCGGCATGATAACGTCGCTCTGTGTGTTGCATAAATTGTTTTCGCGATGAGAAATTGATAAAAACATGTTTCCCATTTCACTGTTGCTCTTTTGTGCACGTGAAGGATGTCTCATCCAGATTTCATACATGACAACAGCCATTTTTGAGAATTGTTCTTTCCCACTGAGCAAATATATGAATGTACCAGGACCACCTTTTGTATGCTGGGAAGATGTGCAAAAGTGGAAGATGTGCAAAATTTGGGCGATATTATTTACTCACTGCGGGTTGTTTGTTCTTGTCCTTGTCCTGTTAAGGTCACTACCATGGTCGAGGCGTGATTCGACAATAAGTAGCTCAGCCACTGCAACACGGACCAAGAGGAGAGAATCGTCCGCAGATTTCAATTTTGGAATCAACAGAGGGAAACTGCCCACGAGGCCCTCCGTCGACAAACCCCTGCGTCGTGGCTCTGTGACAGCCATTAAACGAATCGTTACTTCACCAGGTAATAATCACATTCTCTTTTTTCTCTCTCCCCCTGTGCCCATTAATCTCCTCCTTCCTACGTCCGATGACCATCCGGAGGGCTGGACGCTAAACTCCTCCAGCCACCTGCCACCGTAAGTTAGAGATGTTGGATTTAGTTGTCAGTTTGTTCTAAGAAAGAAAAACGAAAAAAGGACGTAAGAATAAATCGATAATTCATGAGGATTTGCGAAACGCTGACTCATTTTTCTCCTCACGGATATCTCCAAGCCGGCTCAGAGTGCTCACCATTTTTCTTTCATTGTTTCACCGCTTATGGTTTTAATTTCGAGCATAAAATCTGCGAGCTTTTAAATAGCAATGCCAACATTAATGAACTTGATTAACCAAGTTGCGATATAAAGTTTCTCTTGCTCATTCCCTAACTCTACAATCTTCGAATTTATGTATGTACATGCACATATAGTTTAGTAGGGGCTAGCTGAGGAGCTATAGGCAATAAGAGAATGAGGTCCTCGATCGTGTATACGTAGCTGCTCCCTCGGCTCGCTTTACCAATAATGCCATTCTATCCTTATCCTTATCCTTTAGATTTAGCCAACAGTTTACTTGGGGAAGGAGGAAAATTGAAAGTTGTTTGCACGATGGGCTGAAAGGGCAAAAAACTTGCATGAGAGGTGGGATGAAGTGGAGTGAAACTTGGACGTTTACGTATTTTCGCCTTGGTTGGTTAGACTCTAGTGCGAGAAAAAGAGAAAGGTGAAAGTAAAGCATTTGGGAAATGTGGTGCATAATTGATGAATGAAAAGAAAAAGTGAAAGTCAACTCTGCTCGCCAAACTCTGCTCGGAAAGGGGGTGGAGGAGAAATATTTCGTTTTTGTCCCTTTGTACGCTTCTTCCACGCTCATTCCGACCTTTGTGAATAAGTGTCTGCATTTAGCTTTAAGACGGATAGTGTGGCATTTGAATGAGTACAACCGTTGGGGTCTTATCCGTAGTAGAGAAATGAGAGTGAATAACATTGCAAATCTGCAGTAGTAAATATCTAATAGTGGAATTGGGTTTACAATTGGTCCATGTGCTGTGTCTAAAAAAATTAAAACACATGGGACCTTGGCGGAATTGAAATTCATTTTATGGCATTTCAACAACATGCCATTTCATCCCCCTTCATTTGCAGACATAAATCGGAGACATTTGCGTCATCCATTATGTATTCTCTATGAGCTGTAAAATATTATCAACCTCGGAGTTGACAACTTGATCAGAGAATGATTCCATCAAAGTTCCAAATAATATGTTTTTTGCAACGTGTCACGTATGCAGTCGTTTTATCGTTCCGAGAACCTACATAGTTCGCTTATTACAATTTGTTGTTGTTGCATATTGTGCAAAAGACAAGTCTGTTGAGGAGGTGGGGTGGTAATGAGAAGAAAAAACAGACGCTGTTGAGGCTGAGCGAGAACCTTATCATTATTATTTTATAGGAGAGACTCCCAGTGTGCGGTCTCCAACTGAGGCTTGAAGGACGGCGTCGTACCCCATTCTCATAAATTGTCTCCGCTTTTGTATTGTTTTCTTTCTCCATCATTACTTCCTGTTCCTTTGTGCAGCCTGAAGGATTGAGAGCATATTATACGTATGAATACTTTGACGAATATGCTAATGGATGTCGTTAGGCTGCCATCTGATATAGCAGACAAAATTAACTATAACATTTGCATGGAAAAGTTAGACATGCCGCGTTGGACTAGAAATAGCCAAAAGTGGATCGAGACTTTAATGCTCGCCATTTGTTTACCCCACATGATTTGAAACATGAAAAAATAAGTGTTTTTGATGTATATTTTGTGTAGAACCGTCGGAGCCAATCGTGTCCCCCGCTGGGGATCAGCCCAGTTCGAGTGAGAAGGTTAAAAAAGAGCTTCAACGACGTAACAGTCGACCAACTGTTGAGCGGACTTCACCAAAACCACATCGCTTAAGACGACAATCTACGGTGCTTGATGAATTCGGAACGAAGAGACGGGGATCAAAGTATGAAGTGTTCTTTGATTTGTTGTCCTTATTCCAGTTAATGTACACTCATGGTTCAGTCAGGGAACAACCAACCAGTAAATACACAGCCGCTCAATCCCCACAGGCAAATACCCGTTGTTTATCCCCAAGTGATTGGGGATAGATTGGTTGATTGAGTCCTATTTACAACAAACTCCGACGAGTGGATTAAATGTGATTTGTACAATGAAAAACTGGGACTTCAACTAGAACTTTTGTGAATAGTTCAAATAAGATTAGCAAATGGAAGGTAGCTTGAGGAAAGTTCGTGTTTGTCGCGAAATTTGCACTCACACTCTTTTTTAGACTGAAACTCTGTCCACTTTCACCTGACTCAATACTTTTTATTCTGATGTAGGGTCGTGTACTAATAAATTTGCTGTATGTACCCTTGAACTGAGAAAAATATAATTGGATGAAAAGTACATGTATGTATGAACGCACATTACACAAAGAATGCGAATTTGCCCAGAATGCGAATATTACTTATTGAAATGCAGTTTGTGATACGAAATATTTAATAAGCTAGCTACGTGTTCCGTTAATGATGTAAATCCATGATGAATATCTGATGTATTCTTGTTTCTCTGTTGTGTGTCCAAAGAGCACAAGGCACGATGCCGAAGATTAGTGAGTTATTAGACGGGGGACGGACGGAGGGACAGGAAAAAAAGTTTCGTGACGGAAAAAGAGTTTCTTTAACTGGAAGACCTGTCCAAGTCAAAGTGTTAAGTTCATTTTCTTTATAATTTCCGTGTCGTCATTCCCCTCCACTTACTTATTTTCTGTTCGTGTATTCCAACAAACAACCAACAGCACCCCACAAACAGTAACCAACTTTCTCTTCTTCCTCCCTCTCTCTCTCTCTCTGGCACATATGTCGTTCGTTTCGTTTCTCGTTTCTCGTGGAATGTTAGATTTGTTGTTTTTGTTATCTGTGCAATCTTTCCCTTTGTGGGTGTCAGCAAGCTAGTCTCAGTAGAGTAGTCCAACAAGTACGCATACATGCTTTCGAACACATAAATCGAAAAAAATGTCACCAACCAACCACCCGTCTCGTCATACATAACACACACATCACACATGTGCAACTTTCTCCAAAGTGGATTTGGTTTTTTTTGTTTGTGTCCTGTCTGCAAAAAATATTCCTAGTTTTCGTTTTGTCATTCCTGTCAAGAAGTGAACATTTTTATTGAATTGAGACAGGTTTTTCTTTAAGTTCAAGTTGCTGTTGACTGACTTGACTGTGATGCGAAATGTGTGAAACTCTTCCAGATGAAAAAAAATGCCTTCCATTTTTCTATTTCAAAAATAACTTAACTAAACTCTTCTTCTCAATAGTATGCTTCTTCCGACTGTATCTATCTTTCTATACACAAATATTTAGTACATGTGAATGTGTGCTGGCCGGCCATCATTCAGTGTCAATAATTTCCCATGCCTCATCAGAGTTGTCATCGTCATGTCAGATTTTGTGATGTGACCTTATTATATTATTGAATGTATGATGTGGCACGTCCCCTACACTATTATTATTTCCCTTGCCATGAGAGCATCAAGAACAACAAGGTTATATTCTCTCTCCCTTCCAGACCTTTTCTTTCACCTGACGATGGGACCAGTGATGAGACTGCATGGTCGAGGAAAGCCAGGAGGGACTCGTTATCACCTGACTCTGCAGCAGAAGACGACCCACGCTTCAACCGACGCAGCAAAAGAAGACAATCCCGAAGACAATCAACTGTAATAACTCAGGGCTCAGTAAAACATCAATTCATAAACTGTGATTTCTGAAATGGACCATTTCAACTTGCACTTTTGTTTTGAGATCTTGAGTCTTAGTCGAGATGTTCCTCTGAAATGTCCACATAAAGAAATTGCACATACACGTGTCTTCTAATAAAATGAGAAGCACTATCTGAATGAGTTTCTTTTGCCTTTGAACGCAGGTAGTGAACGAGGAGAGGAGGGGGTCAAAAAAGTCTCCAGACTCATCGTCAACATGTTCATCTCGGGAGCCGAGCCCCGTTACACCCAGACCACCAAATTTGAGGAGACAATCAACGACAGAAGTACAGGTTTTAGCTCATAAGTATTAATGAAATTGAAAAGAATTAATTATATATTGCCGTATTTTTATTACATTTCAGGAAATTTTAATTGCTCGCGGCTTCCGGAGACAATCTACAACGGAAGAAATGATTCGTTGCAGAAATTTCAGGTCGGCCTACCACTCTGTCCGAATATCGATCCTTATCGTTTCCTCTCTTTCGTCACAACCATATCATCGATGATTGCTCATCAAGAATTCGTTTAGAATACGACCAACTAATGATTTACTCCCTTATTGACTCAATTCTACACATTTCGTGATTCGACATAATTTTTTATTTTACTTCATTGGTTTTCAATTTCCTTGTAATTTGCATGATCAAAACTTCCAAGTACGCATAGAGAACTAAAATGTGTAAACACATAGTAAATCTATAGTAAGACTTATTTCTAAATTGTATGCATTCATTAGTAAGATCTTCACCCTGAACTTGTTATTAATAGTTTGGAAATTTTATTGCTCAAGTATTTTGAGTCGTTTCCTTTTACGATAGTGTGGATACGTAATGATCGCGAAATGTCAGTTCTTTTTGTTTCACTCAATAATTTGTCTAATTTATTGTCCTCCCCTCCCTCGCTACTAATTCACTTTTGATGCAGTAATCGGTACACATTCATTTTCATGCATTAACCAACATATGTACATATGTACCTTAACCCTATATTTAGCAAGCCAAATTTTCCTACCATAAGAAAGTACGAGGAAGTTATAGTCATTTGTGCATTGAGTCATTTGTTTGTTTTATGGGAGTTGTATCTTTCCATTATCCTACCATCCAAGTAATTTGCATGTTCACCAGTCGTACTCCTGATTCTTGCTTCAAGAACTTGTTTTACAACGTGCTATGGCCAGATCAAAAATATTACTATTTATTTATTCTTGTAGGGTTACATTTTAACATTTAATAGATTTGTTTCAGAATCAATCCTATTTCTCCGCTTTTTAACATTCGCCGAGTTAATCAAAGGACATAATTGATTCAAAGGCATTTTTGCATTATCCGATAGAAGGCAGTCAACTCAGAGCGAAGAACTTACAAAAACGCGAGGTCGACGAGACTCCTGCGCCCAAATTACGGACGGTACGATTGCCACCATGACCGTGGAAACCACGTGTGCGTTCTTTGACACCAGCACCCAAACAGGTAAGTCAATAGCAGATTAGCCTACACGGACGTAAGGTATGCACATACACGTACTCCGACACATTGCATGTCAACCGATTGTTGCGCTGCAAGATCATTTTGAACTTTTTTTCGGAAGCGTGGTCGTTCAAGTGTGAAAAGTGGCCGAGCAGGATTTATGAATGAAAGTGAGAGGATCGGAGGACGGAGGATTGGCGTAAGTGGGAGAGAAAGGAGGCTGCTCACTCTAGTCATTCCTACCCGAGTCACGAGGAGCAACTAGTGTGCACTCCACCCTGTAGACTGTGGGAAAAGTGCGTGATTCTCTCTCAAAAAAGCAGTCGCCCCATGTGCCTCCTATCGTAATACTGCTATGGGCTCATTCAAAGTATATAATCCCAGGGTTCATAATTTGCCTCTATTGTTCTCCATTGTACTCTTCTTTCGGCGACTTGTTTCTTGCAAAGGCTACGATAATGAGTGATGAATATGAAGGCTGATGCATGTATGTATGTACATATTTATTATGGGTCTTATGTGTCTGTTGGTCATTATTGCTTTTGTGTGTGCTATACCACATATGCAGCAGTACTTATGGCAGGAAGTTGTGCTGAATTGCCATAAAATATAACCCGTCGTCCAGTCTATGCACATGGATTGCTATTCTGCTACTGCTCCATGGCTTGAGAAATACTTTGTGGGTCCAATTATTTCTCTCTCGTACAACTTCCTCCTCGTCTATCGTTGGGCAACTCCTGGTCGAAATTTATATTCTTCAGCTCGCTCTCTGTCTCTGTCCAAATTAGCTTTTTCACTCCCTCCAAACTACCTTTTGTAGGTATTTAGAGCGGTAGTCGGCTTATCCAGCGGTATGCGAGGCGGTTAGCTCTCTGGCTGAGGACATACTTTGCTGTGAGCAAGCAACTCGTAGCCATTCCCGTGTGCAACAGTCTTACGTGCATCCATACGGCCATCACAAAACTTGCACTGTTGGGGAAACTTGAAGCACTTAGGACAAGACCGGAGGTGATATGAATGAAAGATAGTTCGTTCCTCCATCCCCAGCACCACCACCACGTCCAGCACTACGTTCATACGTACTACCATGAAGAAGAAGAAGACGAAGGAGAAGGTCGACTGCCTGTTGTACTTTCGCTGCTTTCTCTCCAATCTCTCTCCTCACTGCAAAATGGGACCTCATTCACTTCCACTCAGTCTGCAACTTGGTCTCTGGGTGAAAACACGCTTTCCTCTCATATCCAATCAAGGCAGTGTACCACTGGGTTAAAATAACCGTACACACACAGTGGCTCGGTGCAGCAGGGGAAGGACAAGTGATACCAGCCTACTTTATTTTTGTATAAATCATGGACAACCAGGCAGCCTCACAGTTACAATTAAGTAATTAACTTTATTCATACGGTGTGAACCATTTCATGTTCCCACGAAGGAAAAGCAACAGTTTGCCACTCTCATTGTATGCGTATTCCCACATCGTATGCATTCCTCTCCAATTTTTATGTGCGTGAATTTTATGGCAAGAAAACATTTCAAATTCGAAGTAGTTTATCTGTCTGAAAATAAGAAAAGTGTGCTAATTATTAATTACGAATAAGCTAAAAAGATGACCAAAGTGTGAGGTCCACACAGTTCGATTTGATTGACGGTAAGTTAAAAGTCTCGGTATTTTTAATGTAAAATTATTTTTATCGGACCAAATAATATCACCCTTTTTATTTTTGCATTTATAAATACCTTGCCTCACGGCAGTGTGCAACTCATGCATATTTATAATAATATTTGCAGAATTTGTAGCATTGTTGATAAACATGTAGGACGTATGCAAATTAGTCATTGGTGTGCTCCGAATGAACTTATTGCATAAGTGTACGTATTTGTGTATGTACATTCAATAACCTCCGTTAGTTTTCCTCCAGCTCCTCCATGCAACTTTGGGTTTTAATGAATGCTGAATATTTAATTGGAAGGCTACTGAGCAGTAAAATGCTGATTCACATGTCAGCCCAAATAAACCGTGTCCCAAGAGTGGGCGTCTTGACTTTTATGACGTGCTTCCTTCCGTATTCATCATAACAGTTTTCCACTTCATCATACATTCCAGTTTGCATTTTTAAGTGCACGTCCACCGAGACTGGGACGTATGTATGTAGGAAGAAAGCGGGCACCGTGTTCGTGCACTGTACATAAAAATACATCGCTCATCCTTAGTTAGTTGAGTTGGGTCTAAATATTACTGAATATTTCTCGGTTTAAAAAGTGGAATACATCTTCACGTCCATTTACTGGAAGGGAAAGGCTCCGTTTATTTGTCAGAGTAACAATGTTATTCATGCAAAGGCGAAAATGCATTGGGGTATGAAACACAACTTTCTCCTCAGTTGCAAATTGGAGTATCACTATCACATATCCTCCTCCCATCCTGTTAAGGGATTCCGAGAAGAAGAAGAAGCAGCAAGCAAATGTGGAAATGGGAGGAAAGAGTGCGTTGGAAATGTTTGAACCATTACTCTTATTACATATTTTTTCTTATCTGGTGGTTACGGTCGACGAGTTTCCCTCCACTCCTCCGAACTGTCGTCCTATGTATGGCATAGTCTCACTTGACAAAGTTTAAAATCATATTTGTAAAGTTACAAAGTGGTGGGTGACAATCGTAATGGGATATTTATTTTATAGGGATTAAATTTTACGCTTTCCGGGAAAAAGCCAGAAATGGGTTTATGTAGGTGTGCATAGGCAGTGGGTGTCTAGAGATTATGCATATCCAGGTTATATGCATGTACGGTTATTAGCATGGCATTAGCATTATGAGGGCTAAAAGATGTAGGCAGAATAATTATATGCAATGAGAGGAAAACAACCACCCACTGGATCCATTACTTTCTGACCTTTCATTGCATTATCCCGTCCGGTCGGATTCTCTTTCAATCCAAGATTTACACGAAAGATTTAAAACTTGACATTTATTTATTTGCATCCAGGCCAAAGCTTATTATTTCCATGCCGGATAGACCAGATGTGTTCGTTCCCCAAAGTCCCAAACACTTTTGAGGAACGTGTACTTGTGGTGGATGGTGTCAAGGAGAAAGCAGTTTGTGGAATCCCTTTATTCAAAGATTCTTCATTATTTGAATACAAATTTGTGGTCCACTTCAACCACTGTGTTGAACCAGTGGTGGAGAAGACCAAATCGGCGACACGATAAGAAGAAAAATTGATATCTGTTCTAAAGGTCTCGCACCAGGCTCTTTCAACAACGTCGTAAAAACTTTTTTTTTCTGGAGGAAAACAAGAAACAAAAACAAATATCTTGGCTTTTTTCACACTTTATCGCATACATACGTATGTACAACTGAGGAATATATATTTAGAAGGGTATACTTTTTGTATTGCCATGTTTTTGGTGTGATTTTGGGTCGAGTCCTTCTGGTTTTCCTCCTCGTCTCCACTTGAGAATATACATAATTTGCATTAGATATCCGTTGGTTGTTGGTGCGAGTTGGTTGGTTTGAAGATTAGGAGACAAGTTTGATAGGAGTAAATGGAGCATGTTAAGTTAACATGCTAAGTTCGAACACCTCTGTTGCCGCATGATTTTCACGATTGTGGGTACAAAATTTGCATAAAGTTGAGAGATAACTCCAAGAATGCAGAAGGAGAGAGGATGTAGTGAAAGCAGGGAACACGCAAGTTGTGACTTTGCAACTCTTATTTAGATTTTGGAAATAAATGTTGGTGGTTTTGCTGGGGATGTGGCAACTTTGATTTTCTTTCCTTGGCTGGATGGCGTGCGGTTAGTTGTGAGGAAAGCGAGGATTTGTCATCTCTGAATATTTATCATATATTATTTACGTTGCTTCCTCCTCTGCGTGCTCAACTGGCTGTTGAGGCTGTCAGACCCTATTATATGTCCTCGCTCCTAAGCTCTGCTCTCTCATGATGCTGTCCTCCTTCTCCAAGCTCGGATTTGGACACCTCCTCGGGGCACGTTTCATTCACTTTCACCCACACTGCCAATGACTACTCCACCACGCTGGGTGCCATGATACCCAGTGTGTGTGCTGCACTATTCTTGTCAAATGCTTACTTTGGCAACAGTGGTGCCAGAATAAAGCCTTCACACTCTGGTCCAACTACTTCATCATTCGCTGCGTCATTCGTCCGAAAGAGTCTGCGAATACACTCCTATGAATTGTATGCAAGTTGTATAAACTACTTTGGACAATGAACCATATCACATCATCCCCTCATTTTTAGGCGAACTAGCCACACATTTAAGTGCAACCCCAATTATAGTAATACAACCTACTGCAAACAACTTTGCGGGGCCTTTTAAGACGGTATTAAGTATTCACTGAAAGCCAGACTCTTAATAAACGATGTGCATATAATTTCGTGATTTGTTGTTGGAATAAACCAGTGCAAAACATGATTTAGCAAATTAGCGAAAGCCTTTGTTGCAGGTAACAGCTTCCCCGATGACAATTATCTAATAAATTTTCGTTCAGTCAACCCGAACCATCTAAATGACCCCCACCGACCAACTACAGTACCGATCGTGACCATTTCCGAATTAAACCTTACGTTTGGCTAGAATATGCTGGATGAAAAATTTAAAGTCGGTAGCTTGTGTCGTAAGAGACTTATCCTGCACACGGATGGACGGGCGGACAGACAGACATCCTGACAAATCATCTTAACGTTTAATCGTAATAATGTTACGCTAAACTTGAGTAGGACATCAGAGAAGTATATTTTATGCCTGTACATATGTATGTACGTGTAGATCTATGGGCTACTAGTTCGTACGAGGAGGCGTAAAATAATTGATGTTTGGATAACTTATTACATATTGCACTGTCATTCCAGAGAATGATCTGTCGCATTATTGTCTTGGAAGGAAAAAGTACGTACTTTATGACTCGCTTGATAACCATATCGAGATTCCAATTCCATTCCTTTTATTTTTATTACACTTTGATTTCTGTGCTGGGATATTC